AGTCCTTCTTAATAGCTCTTTTGCCCTTGTTCCGACAGGAGAATGCTATATTCAAAATATATATTTGTTTTTTCAAAATTACCATTTCGTGATTCTAAATTAGATGAAAAATTTTCATTTGGAAAGTGTTTAGAAACTCAAAATATACATTTATTTTATTTTAGACCCTTATCCTCCATTTTTAAATTGAATCCCTTTGGAAAGTAAAAAAAAATTCCATTTCTCAAGGCAATTTTATATGTGGTATACATATCCACTTGTTTTTTTAAATAATTTAAAAAATTTCAATAGAATTGAATCCATTTACCTTTGATATAAGATGATCACAATTAGTTATAACGAGTGGTTTAAAAAATGGATAGGTGCCCTGGATTGGGCACCCAAAAAACCCATCCGAATCGGTGAATTGATGATCCGGATCGGGAATCGGCCGAATCGGTTTGAGTTAGTCATAAACAAAATCCAAAAAAATTATTAAAATTCATTATAAGTGTTGTTTTTTAAGAATCCAATAAAAAATGGGGGTACTCTATATATAACTTTCATTTTTTTTTGCATTAATATGCGAATATTGAGATGTTTTTTTTTTGCATGAACTACTGGTAACCATTAAATTTACATCGCACAAAAAGATAAGCATAGAATCATCATGAATGAAGTATATCATCATACATGAACTACAATAAAGAATGAATTAAATCGATGAAAAAATGGTCACCAAAATCTTGAATTGGCTGAAAACCCTAATCCACTAAAAAAACCCAAATTATTACAACATAACTAACTACAATCCAAAAATATTACAACCTAACTAATTATAGTATTATATACTTAGATTGAAATTGTTGGTTTACATTTTATAATTATTTTACCTTACTAATAATAACAAATCCAAAATATCTTATAATATCATCTAACTTTAAATATATTATTGACAACTGCAAGAAAAAATAGTACATTGCATAATTTATAATGCCATTTTTTTCCAAAAATCTAGTTTTTTAAGTTTCTAAAATAAATTTAGCGGAAGAGATTGTTAGTAGATAGAGAGATAGATATTCCAAATAGCCTCATTGTATGAACCCTATCTTTAAATTAATATTCCTAAATTTATGTTAAAAACCACAATAAAAAATATAATTAGACCATTTTTTCTGAGTAAAAAAAAAAGAAATCTAACAATAGTCAATCATATATGAGTAAAAAAAAAAGAAATCTAACAATAGTCATTCATATATGAGTAAAAAAAAAAGAAATCTAACAATAGTCATTCATATATGAGAGAAAAAAAAAAAGCTAACATGCTTCAAGCCTATATTGTATTACCTTTATATATCTAATGTAAGCTTACGATAAACGTAGTTCAAATGCATGTTTGAAAAACATGATACTTGTTGTATTAACTTTTATTTATTTTTTGACAAGAATACTTTTTATATTGCCTTTTCTTTTTTTTTTGACAAGAAAAATAAGAATATGATGTTGCCTAGGTACCTTTTATTTTATTTTTTGACAAAAAGAGATTGTTTTTGACAAGAATTTATTTTATTTTTTGACAAAAAGAATTTGTTTTTGACAAGAAAAAATAAGAAGATGGTACTTTTATTTTATTTTATTTTTTGATAAAATTTTTTTATTTTTGACAAGAACAATAAGAAGATGGTACGTTTTAAATTTTTTTTTTAAAACAAAATGATGCCCCGAGAAAATTCGAACAAGAGGCCTCTACCATCAAAGATGGACATAATTACCACCACGCCACAACGCCACTTAATGTGATAACCTTCATAATAAAAGCATATATTACCTTTTCAAACTGATAATGTGAATTGTTCCACATCGAAAAATTCAAGAATTGTTAATGGGTATAAAAGACTTGACGCTCTTATCAAGAACAAATGCATGGGCATGGGGCCTCTTAATGGTCATGGTGACAATCAATAATAGGATTAAATCCTGTTTTGAAAAACAATATCCCCAATTACTCTCGGGCGGTTCAGCGGTTTCCTATTGAGACTCGGGCAAATCCGTTGGTTTTTCAGTAGAACCGGGTGGTTTACTATTGAGACTCCTAGGGACTCTACTAGTTTTCTGGTAGAACCGGGTGGTTTACTGTAGAGACTCAGGCAGACTTGCCGATTTTTTTTCTGAATTCGCCTGATTTTCGATATTGTAAAAGAAAGACTCGCCTGATTTTCGATATTGCGGTTCACTGTAGAGACTCGGGCAGACTCGCCGATTCTTTTTTAGACTCGCCCAATTTCCGATATTGTAGAAGAAAGACTCGCCCGATTTATCCGCCGGTTTTTTGGTAGAACCGGGTGGTTTACTATTGAGACTCCGACAGACTTTGCCGGTTTTCTGGTAGAACCGGGTGGTTTATTGTAGAGACTCGAGCAGACTCGCCGATTCTTTTCTGGATTTGCCCGATTTTTGATATTGCAGTTTACTGTAGAGATTCAGGCAGACTTGTCGATTCTTTTCTAGACTCGCCCAATTTTCGATATTGTAGAAGAAAGACTCGCCCGATTTCTGATATTGTAGAAGAATTGGCACGGGGTGGCGGTTCCCATGTCGACTAGGGCAATTCTGATATTGTAGAAGAAAGACTCGCATGATTTTCGATATTGTAGAAGAATCGGCACGGGGTAGCTGATTCCCATGTTGACTAGGGATTTCTGATATTGTAGAAGACTCGGCATAGGGTAGCCGATTCCCATGTCGACTCGGGCGATTTTGGGTCGATACGTCGTAGAAGAATGGGCACGGGGTAGCTGATTCCCATGTTGACTAGTGCGATTCCGAGTCGATTCGCTGATTTTTAAATCCCTGTTGATAACCATATGATGTGAAATTTGATAGTTTGGGTGTATCACAAATTCTATTAAATCCCTGCTTATAACCATATGATGTGAAATTTGATAGCTTTGGTGTGTCATAAATTCGAGAAAAATTCTTTTGAAGTTTGAACTTAATCAATGGAATAAATACAGCTACCCAATTTCACATCCAATAGTCAAGATTAAGTAAGACCACCTTGTACCAAAGGTCTCATTCTATACTTTTCGAAGGAAAAGCGTCCTATTTTAAATTGAGCAATGTTTACCGGATGAAAACATGATGACCGTTGAGTTGATTAGTGTTGTAGGAAAGTTCTCTCCAGCCTCTAGGCCACCACTTCCCCATGTTTGTTTCATGAAAAAGCAGTGGATACTTTATCAAGCACTACAGTCTCCAAAGGCATGTTGCGAATTCACTCTACCTATTTGAAAATAGGAAAAAAGTACATAATAAGGCCACTAGATACATAAAAGTCACAATTGATCTTGACCATTTAATGTAAAATTGGATGGTTGTATTTGTTTCATTAACCAAGCTCAAAGTTCGAAAGGATGTTTTCAAACTCTATGACACTCTCAAGTTTTTAAAACTTCACATTAGATGGGTATAGGTAAATGTGACATCCTTATATCTGAAGTTAATAACCTAATAATATGCAATGGCTTTAAAACAAGTGATGAAGTTTCTATAGGACCTAGGCTTTATGAAAACAAAGCAAAGCCTCGCCTCAAATCCTCATCCGAAAAGCACTATAGGCATTGGGAATCTTTATAATGGCTCTAAAATCAATTTTCAATACCGACAATAAAATTTGAAATTCAAAAAATGGTACTGATCTTACGGATCTGTTAATATTTATTTTTAGGGTGAATGGATTGTCTTAATGATTTGTTACAATATATACTATTTTTAGAACTTGAAATCCTATTTGTTTTTCACAACCATAATGTTCAAGTTGAAATGATCGATTTAAAGGTTCTTCAACCATTGAATTGTAATTTTTGATGAGTTACGAGGTTAGATTGGCTTATTTTGATAAGGTTCTTCAACAATTGAATTGCAATTTTTGATGAGTTACGAGGTTAGATTGACTTATTTTGATAGGGTTACGGCCCTACCAAACCATTTTCCTAGAACGAAAGCGCTTTCCCATGTGACGGAGTTTTTACTCCCTAAGCAAAGAGCTTTTTACTTCCTCAACTATTTAGATGCATGTACCATGGCCCCATGGCTGTCTACTTACTCCCTTAAGCAAAGAGCTAGAGTTTTTTGTCAATCTGAAATTTGAAATGAGAATCATGATATAATTATTTTGAAGAATAACAATATTTCTTCAATACTTCAATTTCATTCCCCAAAAACTGAACACTTTTCAAGAACAATTTGAATTTTCAAATTGTTCACCAAAATTTGGGCCCTAAATCTCGCAACAACCAATGATCGCTATTCAATCTTGGACTTCATATTTTTTCAGGTAAGGTGCAATTTGAAAATTACTTTTTGACGTCTGTCATACAGTATATATGCCCTGCGGACAAGTTTTGGTCTCAAAAATAAACCTTTAGGGTTTACCCAAGGGAGTAAATATGGAGCACAAAATATTTCTGACTTCTTTTCCACTCAAAATAGTGTGTACCTTCTCCGAACTGGACACAAGATGTTTGGACTCATGACAATTTGCACTTAATTTTTCTCCTTGACATAGACATTGAGACATTAAGAAGGCCAATTTCAACCACAAGCTGCCCTAACATGAGCAGATCAAAATGATGCACATGAGCCCATGTCACATGAGACCTTGATCCTGATTTCATCAATATTTATTCTTAGGAGCTTATCATCCTATGCCTCTGAGAGTAAAAAATCTTACTGAAATTTTAACATTTTGTTCTATGAAAGAGACCATTTATTTTTTTGTACAAATAAATCACAATCACTCGTCCCTTGAATTTCAAATTGGATGATTGTAAGAACGTCATTAAGAAGACTCAAAATTAAAAAATAATAACAAATTTCTCAAACTTCGTAACTATCTCAAACTACCGAGTGACTGTGACCTCCTTGTAATAAAGATAAATAGTCTCAGTATACAATCCCATTTTTACAAGACCCTATTCTAAAAACCTTTTTTTTTTTTTGATATGTATCCATTTCACCATTACAAAACAAACTGTCGTCTCCTTTCACAATGCCAGTATCATAATATAAAGTAGAAGTCCAACAACTATACAATAAAGAAACTTCTTTCCCAAGGCATTTCAAAAGCTTTGGTCAAATGCAACAGTGATGATAAGAAACAGTCACTTAAAATGAGGTTTCTCAGTGGGCAGGGAAAGGAGATGTTTCTTCCTCATCATAGAGATGGCTCGTGCAGGATTAAGGCTCTTGGGGCAAGTTTTAGTGCAATTCATGATGGTCCTGCACCTGTAAAGCTTCTTCTCTGATTCTGTCAAAGCTTAAAGTCTCTGCTCATCGTAATCATCCCGAATGTCACAATTTGCGCAATGAACTTAGTACTGTGAACTTGGTTAGTACAATTCACTCCCTTAGCACAAGCAATGTAATAGAGTTTCTAAAAATAAAAAAATAAGATTTATGGCTTATTTCTAGGTGTAATGAGCAATCAGTCTCTTTGCATTTTTAAGTCTCATTCATAGAACCAAACAAATGAAAACATCATAATCATCGTCGATCGGCTAAACCAAAACAAATGCAAACAATTTGCAAAATTATTGATGTACACAGATATTGCTGCTTTCCAAGAAAGGCTGTAGACGAAACTCCTCCATTTACCCTATGCATGGCAGGTATGAAGTTAATGTACACAGACAACCACATATTGTCCATTATCATAAAATGGTGGAGATAAGCAATGATCAGCTGACTGGCTTAAAAGAGGAGCAACAATGTGTCTCATCCTTAAAATTTGTCAATGCGAATGGGTGCATGTGGTCATCTGTGTACCATTACAAGTAGCCCATAATTTGTTCTTGATCATAAAAGAAAGCTTCTAATTTTAAAAAGAAACACATAAATCCCACTAAAATTTACTGGGGTCCTTACAAGAAGTAATAATTTTTTTGTAGAACATTGTATGGAAGTAATAATTTTGTAGTAGAACATCAGCATCAAGAGGGCTCCTATTGGGCTTGGGCAGTGAGCAGTTGACGTCAAGCAATGCTATATCTTAAGTTCAAGTCCTACCACTGAACTCCCCCAGAGAAAAAAAAACAACGAAGAACAGAGAAGATTTACATGTCCGAAATCCATCGATAGGCCTGCAATAAAGTGGCAGGTCCAAGGAACTCTTCAGGGTTCCACCAATAGGCAGGGCAAGAGGCACTACAACAAGCACAAAGGATGCATTCATATAGCCCATCTAGCTTCTTTCTCTCTTCAGGAGATTGCCTGTACTCTAGCCCATCCGGTGGTGGTTTTTTTGCTTTTAACCAGGGCTCAACAAACCTGCAACAAATATAAATTATTATTTTTCATACTCTACAACTATGTGCCTCATGTTGGAGGAAAGTTCCAATTTACAGATCTTATTAATTGGAGGGCAATCGGGTGGTGGATGCCACAACGTAATGTGCAGAACTCCCTCTCATCAAGTCCCAAGTTAAATTAACAAAAAAACAGAAAAAAAGACTAGTAGTTGATGAATGTGATGAAAGGTGCATGATACTCACCATATGTTAGAAGAAAATTGTCTTTTATATGCAGTAGTCATTTGTATGAATATTTTGAAAAAAAAGATCCGGGTGCTGACTAGGGCACCCAACAACACCTGGTGACTTTGCTGATTCTGGCCCTTGAAATCACTCAGTGAAAAAAGAAAACAATTTATGACAAGAAAAACAAAAAATCGCTCGACTCGGGAATTGGCTGAGTCACAATGGTGAATAGGGCAACTCACTGGATTATGGACTACACAGGACACTGCCCTGGTTTGAAGCCATATGGGACGGGGCACCCAGGTCCAAGCCAACTTGGGCTATTCCAACTCTGTTGGCCATTTCACAATCATTGGTTTGTATTAAAATCTCTAAATGAAATGTTTAGTGTACTCCACTTGAACCCAGAATCACTTCATGGTATTTGTTTCGCTACACTTTTAACATCTTTGACACGACCTAGTGAGAGCCTTCATCCATTTCGTCCCCATTTCCAGATCATTGCGAACTGCACCAATATTTATCAACCTTCCTAAGTTGTCTATGATTTTGAAAACACTAGAACTCATGTTGCATTGCTTCTTGAAGTAACCAAGACAAGGCAAGGTATTACCGACGTGATTTTCTTGACTCTGTGGCTTTTCCGGCTACCACTTCACACAGTGTGCCCGGACTTGCCTCGGCCAAAGGGCGACTTACTTGGCCAGGTCGGCGAGTCCAGCACAGGGCCTTTTGGGCCCAAGAGAATTGAAACAAAATTAGAAAAATGTGAAAAAAATAAAAAACTTGTAATAAAAGTAAATTGAAACCTAAAACAATTTTAAAAAGTTTAAACAAGAATAATAATGTACAAAAAAAATAATAAATTTTGGAACATTTAAAAATTTCAAAAAATAGAAAAATATAAAAATAGTGATATGGCAAAAAATACTCATCAATATTTTCCAAATAAATCCAAATCATATAACAAAAAGACTACAAAACAATCTAGCATTTTAAAATTGTTTTAGATTTCTTTTGAAGCTTTCTTACATCCTTGAGTTGTACACCCAACGTGGGGAAACTCGAGCCAGGCCGAGTTACCCCTCATCGTTACACACTGCTTCACACTATATATGCACTCGAACAGAAAGTAAAACAGCCACTACTTAAGAGGGTTACTTAAACATCCCAAAAAAATGAAAGTGCCACTAATTTAAAGAGGAAGTATTTTGCCTGGTTTTATAGGTCACACCCATAATGCAGTTCCAACATTGGAAAATCCCGCATCTCAAATTCGTCATGGATCCAGAAAAAATGGATTAGAAGTCCTTAAAATGGTTTTGGGGCATGGTTTTTTTGGGCAAGTGTTCATAGATCAGCCACATGTGCACCATTTTTTAGTCATCATTTTCTCAGGGGTGGAAATGGTTCAGTAGGTCTTCGAAAAGGTTTCTAGCCCTGAAAATGTATTTCCCACATGGTTATGAGGTGTATCTTCACCTAATATCATAAAGCTATTGCCCCCAGAAAAGCACACCCATATATAAAACCATGCCTAGAGGGCATTGTGTACCCAAAACGAACTGTAAATTTAACTCACCAGGTTCTCATGACAAAACAATAAAATTGAAAAGATATAGCACCCCTAATCTTTGTTATCCAATTCCTAATGAAAAATTGTACATATTAGAAAGTACCAATTATCCCTAAGAAACAGAAGGAACCATGATTTTACCAATCACTATCCTCAAAACCCACCATAAAAGGTTGTTCTACTGTTGAAAAACCTACAATCGATCATCTTGACCTTGAGATGCAATCGATATGAAAAGAAAGGATTTTAAGCCCTAAAAATGCTGAATCTTATAACATGCAATCTATTATCAAGATCTTTAAGTGTTTATAGATCTACTCAATCTGCACGTTTTTAGAACTTAAGGTTCATGATCCATAGTGGTCTAAGAAGGGTGAGGACCTTAAAGTTTCCCTTAATTCGTCGCAAGCCCAGATAAAGGTGATAGATTGTGATAGGTAGGCAGCCAACATTAAACTTTGCCAAAACTTCTCATAAGTTCGAACTATATGGTGATAATGATGAGGTTCATGATCCATAGTGGAAGATTTTCAAGCCACTATAGGGGTTTTCAAGCCACTATAGGGGTTTCCAAGGGCAGAACTACATCTTGGAGGTCTACCTTAGATTATCTATGGGATAATAATATAAACCGCATCCTTATTGATATAGCAAAGTATCACTAATTTTACAATGCATTTCCCATGATAAGAAATCAATCACCAACACAAGGGAAGCAGCTCCAACTCACTTGTATTGGTTGTAGAAATTGGTGAGATCAACAACTAGGTCTTTCATAACAAACATGTGAGGCAATGGGGTTACGATGGTGGGTTTAGTAGTATTGGCATCAATGGGCCTTAGACATGCCACAGTGTTGGTCCCATCAATGTTCATGGAGCACGAGCCACATACTCCTTCCCCACAGGATCTCATAAAACATAAAGTCGAGTCTTCCTCTGCTTTTATCATTTGAAGGGCATCCAGAACCTTGAAAAAAGAACACACAAATTTCATAGCATAAAGGAACATGTGATGCATGATAATGCAGTAACTATTAGCATTAATACACTGAATTTTCATATGAGTAAAGAAAGGAGATTGCAGATATGCACATAGAAGACTACCATACTATTCTATTCTCCAACTAAAAAAAGGGCCTTCCCATTGCTATATGTCAAAAAGAGAATTTTGAGACGTTCACATGTCACATATTAGTGCCCTATGTTTTAGTAAAAAATAAAAAATAAAATTAAGAATGTTGTAAAAATCCAAAGGAAATTATAACATGCACAAAGAAGGGTGAAGGCTAAATATCCTTCAACACTAGGGGTGGCAATTGGGTCTGGTCGACCCGATAATCCGTTGGGTCGACCCGAACTAGGGCTGGGTCTGGGTCCAAGCTTTGGATGTGATGGGCTGGTTCCCGGTCCAAAACCCTAGAAACGAGTTGAATTTGAGTCGGGTGCAGGTCCCAGTCGATCCAACCCGGATTCAACGTACTTGGACCCGGACTCAACCCGAATATATATATATATATATATATATATATATATACT